CTATATAGGTTTTCTGCAATTCTTTTATAAAAAATGATGTCCTTAATTCCTTATTCATTGGTTTATCCATTCATTTATTTATAGGTGTATGGCCTCCTAGAACTTTATATTATACTTTGGGTTATAATAATTCTATTTTTTTTCTTTTGTTGTTCAACTGGTTTCAGTTTTGGCCACTGGGAACTCTTTCAGAGTGTTTGCTATGATGTCCCTTTGACATACTTCCAGCATTTTTTAAAAGCAATTTATGGTTCTGTGAGATGCTCCAGGCTCATCATGTTATTTTCCCTGCCCTAGTTCTAGAATCATCCTCTGTTCTTTTTCTTGGAGAAAGATAATTAGAAACCAAGATCTAGGTGCTCACTACCAGTAAGTACCAATAAGTCCAGGCCATTCAGCAGACAGACAGGAACATATCCATGTTCCTTTGTACGCACACCTACCTACACTTACTCTGCATTAGTCTGTATGTATAAATAAACATGAGTTCATAGTGACATCTCTGATTCCAATATAAGACCACAGGATTCATTCCTGCCTCTTACTCTTACTTTTTTATAAATTTCTCTATGTAATAAACTTCAAACCATTCAAACCCTTCCTTCCTTCCTTCATAGAATGCTTGTCATCTCAGAATACCCCCATATCAAACAAATTTACAACTGGAATTTTGTGTTCATGTAACTTCTTTCTTGTCTCAAGTCTAACTTTCTAATCAAAGCACCATTTATTTAGGTCATCGTTGTACCCTGTGTCCTTCAGTAAGTTTATGTCTTATGTTTGTAATACAGTTAGATTTATATGTCAAAAATCTGTTTTCCATTACAGATTTGCCCTATATCCAGATCCAGTTTTTAAAATTTGCCTTCCTTAAAGTTTACTCTTTGTGATGCACAGTTCTCTGAGTGTGGAGAGATGTGTATCTGTGTATCCCAGGCCCATCACACTAAGCATTCCCCTGCGTGTCCACTTGATAATCAACCATTCGCCATCTCTCAGCTCCTGACAATCATGGGGCTATTTTCAATCCTTATGGTTTTGCCCTTTCCAGAATGTCATATCAATGAAAACTTTTGGCATGAATCAATGACTCATGGATTTTCATTGGCTGATTAGTATTTGATTATATGGATGTACCACTGTTGAATTGTATCATGGTTGCTTCCAGGTTTTTATTATAAATCAAGTTTCTAATAAATATTTGTATGTATGTTTCATATGAATTTGCTTTTAATTCTCTTGGGAAAATACCCAGAAACATGATTGCTGGATCATATGCTAGGTATGCATTTAATTTTGTAAAAACTGTACTAAATTGTCTTACAAAGTGGTTGGGCCAGTTTCCATACCCAGCAGCAATGCATGAGAGTTTTTATGCTTTACATCCATGGCGATATTTAGTGTGGTCAGCTTCTTGGATTTAGCCATTGTTTTAAGTAATTCATAAAGTCTTTGCACAGAAGAGTACACATTTAAAAATCAATTAATGGGGCTGGGGTTGTGGCTCAGTGGTAGAGCGCTCTCCTCGCACATGCGAGACCCTGGGCTCGATCCTCAGCATCACATAAAAAATAATAATTAAGTGAAATAAAGGTGTTGTGTCCAACTACAACTAAAAAATAAATTTAAAAAAGTACTCTGACTTAAAAAATCAATTAATATGTGATGTTAATAATAATGTTAAAGATTAAAAGCCTAAGTCAGAAGGTTCTTTCCATGTGTCTGTGGTGATGGAGGAAATGTATGCTTTTGCATAAAGAATGGTGCCTGGCACACAGGAGGTGTTTAATAAATGATCCTTCCTCTCCAGCCTGCCTTTTCTCAGGCAGTTCTGCTTTCTTAGGAGGGAAAGCTTCATGATACAGGAAAGAAGGTTTGATGCTGTGCTACCAGGAAGCTGTCACTGGAGGGGGGGTCATTTTTTAGGACGCTTGGTCATTACACCTGCTCCAGGTACAGAGAAGGCGGGGCCTCAATTCTGTGGAAGATATTCTGTCAAACTCAAAGCCCTTCCCACCCTTCTCACTTTTCTAGAACTCTCTACTACGCGGGCAACTGAGGAAGATAGGAAAGCAGAAGGAAGGGAAAGGGACTTTTTACTTCCTTTTTGCCCTTCCTTAGACTGTCCAAATTCCTATTTATGAACTTGTCCGAGTTCCTGAACTATCAGTAACAGCCAGCAGTACCCTGTCCTCATAAGTCTGAGTTCAAGCTCTTGGGCCTGCTCCTCTGAGCACCTCTGCCCCTTTGATCTCCAGTCCTGGGGGTGTATAGCTGCTTCTTGCAGCTGCCCCTCCCTGAATAAACTCAGCATCCTCTTCCACTCTTTCAGTCCCCCAGCACATACAGCTAATTCCCTCTATTAAGTTCTCTTTGGTGGAATACCTAGCATGGTTTGCATTTTTCTGATGTCCTTAGATTCTGATATTTAGGTTCTTTGTTGGCTATTAAAAACAGTGCTGCAAAAACAACAACAACAACAACAAAAAAAACAGTGCTGCAGGTGGGTATTGTACCCCACACTTGTAATCCCAGCAATGCAGGAGGCCGAGGCAGGAAGATTGCAAGTTTGGGGCCAGCCTGGCCAACTTAGCAAGACCCTGTCTCAAAACAAAAACCAGAAAGGTCTGGGAATGTAGCTCAGTGGTTGAGGATCCCTGGCCCAATCTCCACAGTACTCCTACAAAACAAAATAAAACAATGCTGCTGTAAACATTTGTACCCGTCTCTGGGGACACATCACTGTCATGTCTCACCTGCCTCTGGATGTTCCTGGCCCCTCCCATCAGTGTATACCACCCCTGCTCATTAGTCCCTATTTTTCTAGGGAAGCCATTGCCCTAGACACATACACTGGGGTTGGAACTTCTTTTATGTCAAGAGCTGAGGCAGGATTCAGGAATCGTTTTTAATCCACATCTTTATTTTTCCTGTGCAAATGTCAATGCAGGCATAATTAATAGTTAAGGCTTTAAAAATATACGCATTTTGAGAAAACATTGCTAGTTACATTTTGCTGATGCTATGAGATTGGATCAACGACCTTTAATAGACCTTCTTATTCATTTTTTAAAAGTTAAAATGGTCAAATGACCCACAGTAAATGGTCAAAGGACCTGCAAGAAGAGACCCATGTAAGTCCAAAATACATAATTGAAAATGCAGTACTTTTGGCATGAACTATATTAGGACCCAATTATGTAATATATGGATTATAACATCAGATCACAGAGCCTTCGAAATTTTCAAAGCAAAGTGGGGGATTTTGTCTGATGAGAAGAAGAAAGGAGGAGGAGGGAAGGAGAGAGAGAAGAGAAAGGGAATAGAAAAAGAAAGATTCATCATTGTGTAATTTGCAATGTGTATTCAAGTGAAGGATAGACCACGGAAAGTATAATTTGCAATCACAGAACCAAAATATACAAATCTGTTATAAAATGTTAATGTAGTTATATTTATTGGATTAAAAAAAAAAAAACCCTAGTTTCTGCAATCTGCAAGCTCTCAGCTAGCTATAAGCTTTGCCTTAGGATGGAATTCCAAGAGGGTTTGAGGCTTCCTCAGGTATGAAGGAGCAGTTTGTAAAGATATGGATTATGGGCCTCATCTTCTACAAGTCCCGGTCAACAGCATTTTTGACTTAGGACACCATTCCAACCTCCAAACTAAAAGCCTCTCCCTGAACAGAGCTCTCCTCTTGGAGGTAGGACAGCTCGTCCCGGGGGGGTCACATAGCCCTAGCAGCAGGCTATCCCGGCAGTGGCAGTTGGTTCCAATCTCCTTTGGGGACTCCCTGCATCATTCTCACCATGCAATGCACTCTCTTCAGAGTTTGTCTAAATTCCTGTGTCTGCCAAATTTCTCTGAGTCCCTGAATGATCAGTGATGGCCCACAGCATCCTGTCCTCAGAGGTTCCAGTCCTAGGACAAGAACGGAAGCTGTCTTTGAATCCCTTTGGCAAGTGAAAAGGGGACACCGCTCTTCCCCTAAAGAGAAGCTCTATTCTAGGAAGCAGATCCTGGTGTCACTGTGGCTGCATATGCCAAGGAGTCTATTGGTGTCACCGTGGCTGCATCTGCCAGGGAGTCTAGTATTGCTTTGCCAATTTGAAGGGGCCTCCCACAGAATTTGTGCTTGCCACAGAACCACCAAAGGCTGGGGTTTCTAGGGGTCCCAGCAAGCATGTAAAGAGACATCAGACTCAGAAATACATCCTCAGACCATCTCATATAAGATCGAATTTTCGTTTCTGCCTATCTTTTAAGTTTCTTGTTATATTTTATTTTTTTTAAATATTTATTTTTTAGTTAAAGGTGGGCACAATATCTTTATTTTATTATTATTTTATTTTTTATGTGATGCTGAGGATTGAACCCAGTGCCTGACACACGCTAGGCGAGCACTCTACCACTGAGCCCCAGCTTGTTACTTTTCATAATGAGATGGTGATAGAGTGAGGTTGGAGGTGAGGAAAAAGAAAGGGTGACTAAGTAATCTTCCACTTGTAGGAAAATTAGGTTACAAGTCCTAAAAATCTCCTCATGGATTCCATAAAAAAACAAAACAAAACAAAAAATTGGGCCAGCATGTAGCACACACTTGTGGTCCCAGCTACTTGGGAGGCTGAGGCAGGAGGATCACTTGAGGCCAGGACTTCAAGGTCAGCCTGGACAACATAGTGAGAATCTGTCTCAGAAGCAAATTATTACAGTTCCCCATACATACTTGCATGTGCTTGGACTGAGGACACTCCACATTTCCCTGCCCTGCTTGGAATTTCATGAAGATCTTACAGTAACCTGGCACTTCCCTGGAGCTAACATCCTGAGTCCCATTTTCTAGGGAAGAAAACCAAAGCTCTCTCCTGCAGTCACACTGCTTGCAAAGGATGAGCAGAATGCAGGATGAGGAATGCAGCCCCAGCTGAGTCCTCCGCCACACAGCTGCAGACATACAGCGTTGCACAGAGAGTCGGCCCCCATGGAGCAGCTCATTTTCACTACTGTTTGGCCTCTGTCTTTGCAGCCTCATCGGGAGCCTCCGCATCAGACGGGGGGCCGCTCCCACTGCCCTTCACCTGGCTCTCCAGCTGGCTGAGCCGCTGCTTCACCTTCATCTGGTTGGAGTTATACTCCGCCAGGAGCCTCGCAAACCTGGTCTGTAGCATGTCCAGGGAGGACTCCAGGTGCTCCACCTTCTCCTCGATGTCCTTGGGGTCTGCCCCAGCCTTGGCCACATCCTCATCGATCAGGTTGTCCTTCATCAGGATCTGCCGTCCCTTCTCCTCCAGAGCCTTCTTGGCCTCAGGGTATTCAGTGAGGGCCTCCATCAGATCATCCTTGGACAGGCAGAACAAGTCCGAGTAACCGATGCTCCTGATGTTCGCCGTCCTGCGGTTCCCCGACTTGCTTCCCTTGATGTTTAAGATGCTGATCTCCCCAAAGTAACTGCCATCGCTGAGGACCACAAACTGGGTGATCCCATCATCGGCCACCACAGCCAGCTTGCCCTCCTTGATGATGTACATCTCCTTCCCAATGTCCCCCTTCTTGCAGATATAATCCCCAGGGCTGAACACGGTTGGCCGCAGCTTCAGCACCAGCTCCACCAGCAGCCCCGCCTCGCAGTCCTGGAAGATGCGGACCTTCCTTAGGGTGTCCAGGTGCACGTTGATGGCGATCTCGGCTTTCAGCTTGTCTGGAAGGCTCTTCAGCACCTCCTTTTCATCCACCGTCTTCCCGTTGGCCCACAGGTAGTCAAACCAGCGGATAACCCGGGTCTCCAAGTCCTTGGTCACCTTGCGGAACTGCATGTACTGCTTGATGGAGTCAATCTTAGCCTGGAACTCGGCCCTCGAGGCGTTCATGTTCGAGATCATGGAACCCACGTTGCCCACAATGGTGGCAAAAATCAGAACACCCACCAAGAAGTCAATGACCACAAAGAGATACTCCTCGTCTTTCACGGGGGGTGGAGTCTCACCGATGGTGGTCAGGGTCAAGGTGGACCAGTAGAGACTGTAAATGTACTTCCTGGAGAGGCGTGCATGCTCTGGCTTGGAGATATTTGGGTAGACCCAGGAGTCTGTTCCGAAACCGATGAACTTGGAGATGGCAAAGTAGATGCAGGCATTCCAGTGGATAATGACGAGGATGTACAGGACCAAGTTCCCAATCCTGAACACATTGGGGTAGCTGGTCCTCGTCTCTGTGCGGTCAAAGAATTCAAAGAGGCGAGAAAGTCTCAGTAGGCGGTTGAACCTCAGTTCTGGGTAGTTCATGCCCCACTTTATATAAGCCAGGTCTGTGGGGACCAGGGACAATACATCCAGCTTGAACTGCATGGACTTTGTGTAATGTTTCCACAGCCTGCTAGTATCCTGGACCATCAAGCCTTGCTCAAGGAAACCTAAAGAAGAAAAAGAAGGTCACGTGGGCATCAGAGCACCTGGCTTTTTTTGGTCGCGGGCAGAGAAAGGTATTTTATATCAGGACTACACACTATGCAGTGACACCTATGTAAGGACAGCAGCTTCCAAGAGCTGTGGGAAACTCACACTCACGGATTTTCTTCGATGATGTTCTAATGCATTCTATATTCTGTTCAGCTTTTCAAAAACCAGATCAGTTGGGCAATGTTGAAAATAGATTGGGTATCATCCATGTTGGCATCCTGACCTTTAGGTTTCCTGTTATATTTTCACCATCAGATGGTGGCAGAGTGAGGTTGGGGAGGGAAAAGAGGAAGGGTGACTACATAATCTTCCATTTCTAAGAAAATCAGGGTACATACAAGTCCTAAAAATCTCCTCATGGATTTCATAAAAAAATAATTGGGCCTGACATGGTAGCACACACCTGTGCTCTAGCTACTTGGGAGGCCGAGGCAGGAAAAGATTATTACATTTTAAAGGATAAATGAAAATTTGTATATATGATTTATATATAATATAATTTTAATATATAATTATATAAATTTTTACTTACATATACATTATTATTAATATATATAAAATTCATAATTATACATGTATTATCTATATACATAAATTTATATAAAATTATATAAATTTTATGTACTATTTATATAATCATATAAACATAAATTTATATATAACCATATTATTTATAAATTATACATGATTATATGAATTTACAATGTGTATAATTTTATGATTTATAAATTTTATATAATTTATTTTATAAATTATATTTTACAAATATTGTATAATATACTTTTTTATAAGTTATATATTATGAATTAATAATTATTATTTATATAATATATAAATTATAATAGTTCATATAAATATATAAAATTTTAAAATACATAAAATTATAAAAATAAAATATAGGACTGGGTTGTGGCTCAGAGGTAGAGCACTTGCCTAGCATGTGTGAGGCACTGGGTTCGATCCTCAGCACCACATAAAAATAAAGACACTGCATCCACCTATAATTTAAAAATAAATATTAAAAAATAATAAAATAAAATCTATATGAAATTTAAAATGTACAAAATCATAAATTATATATTTTATGATATATTTTATTTTATAAATCATGCAAAATTTATAAAATTATATATTTTCTACATTTATACATTACTATTTATGTAATTGTATATTATATATAAATATAAATGGGTACATATATGTGTGTATTGATTTTAAAAGGAGCTTTTCTAAGTTAACTTTCAGAGTCAGAGTGAGCTGAAGAGTTCACTGCCTGGGATTGGCTTGAAAATATCCCAGGCAGCAAAAAAAAAGGGACGGGGTGGGGCAGGTGACAGACAGAGGGTAAGAAGCTGGGAAGTGTGGAACTGGGTGAGGGCCGTAGGGGTCACAATACTGTTCCCTCTGCTTCTGGCTGGGTACACTGGAATATCAATCATAAACATTTAAACACACAGCTCAGATTCTATCAAATCGATTTCACCAGTCTCATGGGGCACAACCTGCCTTTGAGAAACCCTCCCCAGGAGTGGGGTGGCTCCTCCTGGTTGCACATTATAGTCTCCTAAGCTGCTAGAAGTCTGGGATTTGTGTCCAAAGACTCAGACTGGCAGGAGACAGGCTGGATACAGGAGTTAAGAGGCGTTCCGACCAGTGCACTCTATCATGGAACTCGTGACCTGCATTCTTTTAGTTTTCGCTATTTCCAAACATGCACAGGAATAGAGAGAGTAATATAATGGGTGCTTTTGAACTTTGGGTAAGCAGCAGAGTCCCCTATGGGGGGTTCAGTGGGACACAGAGGGCTTGAGCCTGGATGTCTGGGGCACTTCTAACAGGTTCTGGGTGCTGCTGCCACTGGTCCAGGGCCACACTTTGAGGCTAAATGGGGGGTAGGCTGTCACCTCTATTAAAATTGGAAATCAAGTTTATCCACACATAAAGTATGTCCACACATAAAGGACACCCCACCTCCAGCCCCTATTCTTCACATCCTTCTTTTGTCATCCATTCTTCCTTTGGTGTCTTTGGTGTCTTTGGGCGGGTAGGTTCCAGGATCCACCTACCCGTCCTGCCCAAGGATACAAAAATCCTCAGTTGGTTGAGCCCGAGGACACAGAGGGATAGAAGGGCCATTGCACATGTACTTATTGAGTGCCTGGGCTGTCACATAGCATTCCTGTGCCTTGACACGTCTTGACACTTCTTTGAGACCTTTCTCTCAATTCTGATGAGTTTTCCCCTTGGACCATGATCCACAGCCACTTGGTTTCTGTGCTTCCCTCTCCCCCAACTTCCTGATGCACCTGGTGTTGCCCAGGGTGGAACACAGGCATAAGAGTCAACGTCTGAGAGAGGGGTCTTGTTGCACCAAACTTGGCTGAGATCAAGGACAGCCAGCCCAATGGACTGTTCATGGAGCTCTGAGCCTGTGCAAGCTAATGATGTGCAGCAGAGTGGCAGATCCCCAGGGCTGGCAGGTCACCATGTAAGCCTCAAGCCATGCATGGGAGGTCTTCTAAGTGACAGTGCTAGGCACCAGTGTGGGAGCCCGTGTGGCATGACTGGGTAGTGTCTGTGGACTTTGAGCAACTCACACAGTGTCTCTGGCCTTGTTTTCTAAATGAAAAACGGAGACCACCATCCTGCACCTCTTGTCTTGTGCAGTAGTTCCAATGAGAGCATGAGATGTGTTTGGAATGCTTTATAAACTACGAAGACACACAGAGAGAGGTGTGCTTGCTGTGACCTGGTGGTGTTAACATGGACAATTATGGCACAGTTTTTAGTTTAAAAATCTTGAAAGAAATAAGCAGGGCTTTTGCCAGTCTTCCTGTGAATTAGAAAAGGGAGCACAGCTCTGAGCCTGAGGGGTGGTGAGTTTTAGTCCTGGTAGAGGCAGTAGAAGGAGGTCTCATGTCCTTGGCACTGTGCTCTGAAAGCTACTGAGTAACTTTCCCTTTTGCTCCGCTACCAGTCTTGAACAGGCAGAGCTTGGAGGGGTCCTTCCAGATTGAAGTGTGGCCTTCTTGCTTTATAGATGTCCACAGAGACAGCTTGACCTGCTCAAAGCCCTTCAGTTTTCTGGGAGAGCAGAGCCCAGAGCATAGGCATTCTGACCCCTGCTCAGGGTCCATTCCAAGGTTCAGCATAGAGGGACCTGGAATAGCAGCACCCATCTTCATGGTTAAATGGTCCCCAGACCTCCTGGCCTCTCATGGTCAAAGACAGGTAATGTCCAACCTGTTATTCTGGATCTCTCTGAGCATTCCATGTGGTACCCAATATCCCCCTAACCCCAAAGTCTGTGGCCTGGCTCAGAGCAGTCTCCAGGCCTGGGACAGACTCACCTGTCCGAGTGCGTACCAGCATGTCCAAGCCATAAATGACATCTGACGAGTAGTCCAGGACCAACCACAGCATCAGGTGCTCAGACTGGAGCTCATCAAAACAGGCCCTAGACAAACCCAGCATGAGAGATGAGACAGATGGCCACTTGTCAGAACACAGGCCAGGCAGCATCTTCGTACCGTAAACATGGCTCACTTCACGCAGTGACAGTCCTGCTTGCAGGGTTAGAACCCCAGAGTATTAACCCAGGCCTCTGATGAGGAAACAGAGTTTCTTTTTGTTCCTCCAGAACTTGGGATTTGAACCCAGGGCCTTGGACATGCTAGGCAAGTGCTCTACCACCGAGCTGCACCCCAGCTCTAGAGACTCAGGTTTTAGAAAGTTATTGTTCCATGGTCATGGGGCTGCTAAAAAGAGCCAGGGGCTGGGAGCGTGGGTCAGTGGTAGAGGATGCACAAAGTCCTGCTTTGAGCCCATTACCAAAAATGAAGGAGGAATTGAAGACAGAGGAGAAGGAGGAAGAGAGCTGGGATTGACCCCAAAGAGGGACAGTGAGCTATAAAACCCTAACAGGTGCATTTTTTCTAGGCCTCTTGGTAGAGTCAGGTAATGGCGCTAAGGACCTACAACAAAGTGTGACAACTGAGAAACTGACAACTAAACAAGCCAGTGAAGATCTCCTATCTTTTCCTCTTTACACACTCTCTCTCTCACAGAGCCAACACCCCGGAACTCCCCTGCTGACCTCAGAAGAGCAGCAGCCTGTCCCTGTGGCCCTTCCTGTGGCTTGCTCAGCAACCCTCTGAAGAGCAACAGTTCACTCCTGGGTCCTCAGATTCTGACTGACAGGCAGGGAGCAGTGCAGCCCCCTGCTAACTTGCAAGGAGAGGTCTCCACATTCCCTTCTTTGTCCTGCAAACCCTCAGGAGAGCTGATCACTCCTTTCTCAGGCCATCCCAGGACTCCTCTTACACTGGGGTAGCGTCATGATTTGGATTTTAAATGTCCCCAAAGGCTTATGTGTTAAAGACGTGACCGCAGCCTGTGCTGCTCCTGGGAGGTGTGGGACCATTAGCAGATGGGGCCTATGGGAGGAAGGGAGGTCATTGAGGGCATGCTCTTGAAGTGGAGATGGGGACCTGGCCCCCCAATACTTCATGCTGAGGTGAGCAGCTTCCCCCATCACCCACTCCCCATGATATGCTGCTGCTTTGTCACAGGCCCAAAAGCAAAAAATTGCCCATCAAGGGAGAGCTCAGAAGCTGGGTTCAAATAAACCTTTCCTCCTTCTAAGTTGTTTATCTCAGGCTTTTTGTCAAAGTGATAGAAAGATGACTAATGCGTGATCAGAAATGCCACCACGCTGTCTCCCAGAGCAGCAGCTGTCTGTCTTGCAGTCTTGCTCAGGAATGCCTCAAAGCCCACTGTCTAATGTCAGAGGGGAAGGACTTGCCTCTGTGTCCTGGTCTTGCATGCCAGCTCAGCAAAGCCCCAAAGGCACCCCTCACCCTCTCGGGGCTGCATCCTGGTTGGTCCTATCATGCTTTGGAGAGCCCCAAGTCCTCGCTGACTCTCAGAAGTGTAGAGACCTGCCCCTGCATGCTTGTCCTGCAGGCTTGCCTAGGGCCCTCCAGCTGCTCTCAGAAGAGCAGCGTATTCTGCATCCTTGTCCTGCAGGTCTGCTGGGAAGGGCTCCTAGATCCCTGGCTTAACTTGAGAGAGCAGAGTATGGCCCTCCTCCCTGCTCAGGAACTTGCAGCCCACAGACTTTCTCAGAAATACCCCCAACTCTGCCTGCCTGCAGAATAGAGCTGCCAGTCCTGCATCCTCATCTGGTAGCCTGCTCAGGAATGCTCCAAAGGCCCCTATTGAATGTGGCTCCCTCTGGTCCCTCTCCCGGTAGCTCTGCTCAGGAAAGCCTCTGGAGCCCCTTCAGAGGAGCAGTATCTTGTCCCTGTATTTACAAACATCACTTCCTAGGAAAGGTTTAATTTTCCCCTGGTGCTTGGGAAGCACCAATTCAACCCTGCACCTCCCACCTGCAGCTCGCTTAGAAAAGTGCCAAAGCCTGTGCTTCTCTCCAGAAGAGCAACAGCTTCTTTTAAACTTCCCAAAGTACATGCTTGCCTAGGAACACCCTGCAAACCCACATCCACCCTCAAAATAGTAGCAGCTTCAATTCACAATAGCTAAACTATGGAACCAACCTAGGTGCCCTTCAACAGATGAATGGATAAAGAAAATGTGGTTCGTATACAAAGAGCGTCTCAAGCCCAGCTTGTCAGCAGTGACTTAGAGCACCCCCATAGTCCTCTTGGAGAACCTCCAGATTTTATAGGTGGAGAAACTGAGGCACCAGAGCTATAAGGTGGCTGTGAGGGGACCAGAACTCTGAGATCCTGGGTGACACTCCATCTTCTGGCCATGGCTGCCCTCACCTGCTCCAGCCCGCCTCGAGTGATGGCCCAGCCCCTGCACCTACCTGCACACAAGCAGACACCAGTTATAGAAGACTGGCATGGCAATAGTGGTCAGCCAGCGGTAGTAGAGGTTGCTGGAGGGATCCATCACAAAGTCTTCCTTCTTCTTTCTGGAAACACACACACTCACAAACAGTTCAGTGTGTTGAAGGGTTGTGGCTTTGGGAGGGTTTTAGAGAACTGAGGGTAATTTCAGGTTGACACTGGACAATGACTATACACATCAGTGTCCTCTCAGTCTCAGGGGGTCACACACGGTGTCCCTGAATGGGAAGACAGGCTGGAATCCAGGGCAGACTTTGGGGTCCTTCCCTCCCAGCTCAACTCCCCAGGAAGCCATGGTTAAACCATAGTCATGACAATGATATTTTGTGTGACATGTGGCAGCGTCCTTGCCCTTCAGGATTCTGGAAATGAAAATGCTGTCTGGCAATGTCACCAAGGACTAGTGAGGGAGCGTTGGGACCGTCCAGGGGAGCTTTGTGTAAGTGCTGATTCCCAGGCCCTCCCATCCCCCCTCCAGAGCTGGGGCCTGGAGATGTGCATTTACACCCCGACTGGGGGTTTCCAAGGAAGCTGCTTTCCTTTGAATATGGAAGCCCAAGAGTGTGCCCTTGGGAACCCTCCCTGCTTCCCTCACTGAATTTGTGCTAAAATGAGGTTATTGATTTTATTATTATCATCATCTATTATTCCTAAACTGTGAGGCGAACCACCCCATTCGAGTACACCCCAAGAAATTAGTGGTTCTATCCAAAGTTCTAGAATTTATGATCTTTTTCCATGAGCTCCTGGGAAAGTCGAAGACATCCTGAGACCAGACACATTTTGAGGTCAGTGGTGAAAACCCAAATCCACATACTGAGTTTTAAAGTCATGTATCAAGCTCTGTGCTCTGATGCAAAGGGTGTGGCCTGTAAGTTGTTCTCAAAACTTGTCTCTGGACCCACTGAAGGGAACCCAAGAGCAGAAATGAAGCAGAAGTCAGAACAGTTTTGTGAGGCATGTGCAGACAGCCCCTGGCTTAGGTGGTTCAGCTTAATGATTATTTTGACTTTACAATGGTGTCAAAGATATGCATTCAGTAGACACCTGACCTTGAATTTGGATCTTTTCCTAGCTTGGTAATGTGCAATCCAATTCTCTCTCCATGCTGGTTGGTGGCACGGAGCCATAGTGCCTAGTCAGTCACATGATCTCTTATTACCATATATAACAGGCTTTGTGTTGGAGGATTATGCTCAGCTGTGGGCTAATGCAAGTTCGGAGAGGGCTTAAGGTAGGCAGGGCTGTGGTGGGAGGTTTGATAGGTAAGGTGTATTCAATGTACATTTGACTTGGGATATTTTCAACTTAAGAGTGTTTATTGGAATGTTGCCCCAACTCAAGTCAAGGAGTATTTTTAGTGGCAAATCTCAGAGTCAAGTCCTGCAAATGAAGCCAAGTTCAGATGCATATTCAGACATTGCAGGATGGTCCTGCTAGTACACATGGCTTTATTCTCCTTCCTCTTTATCTTTTCTGCTTTCTGGTATGTGTATGATACTGGTGATTGAACCCAGGGTCTATATGCCCAACCCTTTTTAATTTTTATTTTAAGACAGGGTCTTGCTAAGTTGTCCAGGCTGGCTTTGAACTTTTGATCCTTGAATTTTTGCCTCAGCCTCCTGAATAGCTGAGATCATAGGTTTGGGCTACTGCACCTGCCCCACTGCTTCCTCTTCTTTATTGGGTACCTTTTAAGGGTTAGGTAAGGTATTATTCTAAAAGTTATGTAAACTGATGGTTATAAAAGTTTTTCAAGACAGGCATTATTGCCCCATTGCCCAGTTGAAGAAACCAAAGTGAAAGGTAAGAGATTTTGCCTGTTAAAGGGAGAAATCTATAGCAATCACCTTTGGGCCCCTCTGATTTCACTCTTCCACATTCTGGAAGAAGGCATAGTTGAGAAAAATGTCTAGTCATTGAAAAAGACCAGTATGCTTTTATCTGGCATTTGCTAAGAAAATAATTATGCAAATATGCATACAGCAGAGTCATCACAATAATCAAAAAGTGCAAGCAATCTAATCATGCCCTAGAAGATCAGCAATAGAATTCTGTGAGGTTACTTGATGATGTTGTGGAAGAATATGCAGCAATATGGGAAAACTATTCCTAATATTTTCTAAGTTAAAGAGCAGCCAGGTGTGGTGGCACATGACTGTACTCCCAGTGATGAGGGAGGCTGAGGCAGGAGGACGGCAGATGGATTGAAAATTGAAACCAATCTTTGAGGATTTGGGGCGGCATAAAAAAAAAAAAAAAAAAAAAAAAAAAAAGGCTGGAGATGTAGCTCAATGGTGAAGCGTCCCTGGGTTCTGTCCCCAGTTCCAAAATAAATAAAATAAATAAAAAGCAGACCATAAAAGAGTTTAAATAATAGTGAACTGGTTTTCTTTTGCTGCCAGAACAAATTCCCACACATTTAGTGGTTTAGAAATCCATCATGTAGATCTGTAGGTCAGAAGTCCAGTGTCACTTCCCTAGACTAACATCAAGCAGAGCTGTGATCTGTTTTGCAGGCTGTTTGGGAGAATCTGTTTCCTGATTTTTGTGGACTGTTGGCAGAATTCAGTTCCTTGCAACTGTAGGATGGAGGCCCTTGTTTTCTTGCTGGCTGTGAACTGAGGGCTAGTCCTAGCTTTCAGAGCCTGCTGTGCCCCTTGGTCTGTGGCACTCTTCCTCCATCTCAAAGCCAGTGGTGGTGGCCAGGTTCCACTTACTGAATCTCCCTCCTCCTTCCCTTTCAACTCTGACCTGCTCTTCTACTATGTTTTTTACTTGAAGCACTCATGCGATTATATTGGGCCCCCCTGATAATCCATGATATCCACCCAACTCAAGATTTCTAAATTTAATCACATTTGTAAAGTCACCTTTGCTACATGGGGCAAACTGTTCAGGGATTAGGACAGTAGAGACTTCTTTTTCTCCCCTTCCTTTTTTTTTTTTTTTGAGTGGGGACAGAAGGGCTATTCTGTCTACAATGATCAATATTTATTGAGCATATTTATCAGGCACTGTTTCAACCCTTCACACAGCTGTGTAAGACACTATTACAATCCTTTGAGGTCATGGCTCATAAACCCCAAATCACAAATTATAAGCCAGAAAACTTGACATACGGACTAGTCAAGGTAACTTGCCCAAGGTCACAGAGCTCTTAAGGGACTGAGTTGGAATACAAATGTTGAGTAATTATCTTTGATATATTGTATCTATTTATCTATTCAATATTTGTGCCTAGGAAAAAAAGTTGGAGGGGGCTGGAGCTGGGGCTCAGTGGTGGAGTGCTTGCCTGACATGCCTGAGGCACTGGGTTTGATCCTCAGCACCACATAAAAATAAAATAAAGGTATTGTGTCCACCTACAACTAAAAAAATACATATTTAAAAACAAGTTGGAGGAATATTAATATTTTAAGAGGGGTTCTCACTGATAGCTGGGTTCTGCTGTTAACAGAAAAATGTACTTTGTATGTGCTTATGGGATCTTTTCTTGTCTTCCAAGTTTTCAGCAATGAATACATGAATAAAATGGTGTTAGCTTACATTTAGATCCTCGGAGGATGCCTCCACACTTGAATCGCAATATTTATATACTAAATAGTATATAAACTGCTTTAAAGACGACCTCACATTAAATAGCGGAGTCCCAGCCAATCACAGCTGGGACTGTGATTGAGCTTCTGTCAATCACCGGAGACCCGCTGATTTGAATAAGGCAAAATGCCCGGCTGTAACCAGGGGCTCTGTCTCCACCTCACTTCCTTTTTCTCTCCATAAATGGCGCTTGATCATGTTACAACCTTCTTAGAATTTGTTTTAGTTTGGGGGTTAATTGTGAATAAAACCCAATTAAGGTCTTTAAGTAATTTTTTCTAATTTTGTCTTTTGCTAGTGGATAATACATTATTCAAATCTTAAGTGAGAAGAGCAGTCACCCATCCTCTGCCTTGAATCTACTGTGATGTGACCCCTGGAGTCTTAACGTGAAATCGACAGCAGAGGGCGCTGCACACAAGCTTATCGAGCGCACCTATCCCTGTGTAGCGTTATTACGCCAGGCTCAGCTTGCTTTGTCCAGGCCTGTCGCCCTGGGATACAGGCCTTTCCTCTGATTCCCAAACTGCAGAGGGTCTAGGAAAGACACAGAGCCATCCAGCTGCATCCACAAATCCACCCAGGACTGCTGAAAAAGAGCCTGAAGTCCTACAAAATGATGCCCAATTTGGAAATAGTTATGGAGACCTAAGGAACTAACTGTGTGATGGAAGAGTGGAGGAAGTGTCCAGGGAGGGTTACTTTCCATATCTTCTGTGCCCAGGTGTCCCCATTTGAGGACAGTTCCCAGTTTCATCCCTTGGTCATTGACTGCAGTGTGGACCCATGAAATTCGCCTATTTGAGAAGATTTAAGAGCCAACCCCATCCACCTCCATCCTTGTCCACGTCTCAGCCCCAGGACACAGGGGCCCAGAGTCTGCTGTTGAATTAGTCTTCTATTGCTGACAGAAAGATTATCACACATTTAGTGGCTTAAACTGCAAGTCCATTATCTTGAAGATGAATGGCCTTGCAGGATCTCGATCCCTGGTTTCCAGCACCCTAAGCTTCTCCCTGCTCAAGAGACTCAAAACCCAGTCTCCCAGGGGGTCTCATGTCAGGTTTGGCCTTAAATTCAATCATACATCACAGCAGCTATTGTGGTGTTGAAATCATTTCATTTTTGTTAATTGACTGTATTTGAGTCTTTGAATTTGATGTTCAAATTTATGCAAACAGAATACATGCTTCCTTTGTGGAAGGAAACAAGAAAACAAATCTGAGTAATGGGAGAAGAGAAAAGTGTTGGCCCGTGTCTCTGTCAGTTGGAAGTCAAGAAACGGGCATTTCTTGATGATGTTGATAGTTCCCCCCTAGCCTTTGGTGAAGAGTCCTTTTGCCCTTGGTATTCCATAAAGAGATGTCCTGTGTGGCTGGAGAGTTGTACACACATGCATTGATGCACCCTGATAATTTTGCACACACACTCACACACACGTACACACACACTCACTCCTGGGGCTCGTGGGTGGCACTTGTGAGAATCACCCTCATCTGCCAGCTCAGCGTCTGTGACAGAAAGAAATCACAGCAGGTCACCCTTTCAAAAGGCTGGTCTCTGGAAATATTTAAATTCCCCCTTTCTCTTCCCCTGATGACACCCTGAGTGTCACTGGCCTGAGTTGGCCTCAAGATGGGGGCATTTCACTGGCACCCAGGAGCTTGAAGTCCTAGAATGGAAAACGCATTCGCACCACTGAGGTGACCGTCGATGCTCTGCCCAGGAACTCCGCTTTTGTACCCTCAGATCGCCACATAAGAGGTTAGACCTTCAGGAGTTTATCTGACCAGACCCTTTTGCTTTATAGATGAGAAAAATGAAGTCACAGAGATAAAATGACTTCCACAAAGAAGTCATCCAGACCTTGTCCCCTCCCCTCCTAGACAGATGGATTTCCAGCCAAAGGAACAGGATTCTAGAATGTTCTACTGATGCTTGGGGTGGGATTGGGAAGCAGGAGTATTCAAGGGGGAGACAAAGCTGGACCACTAAGGCGGGGAGGGTGGATCCTGGGATTGGAAGGGAAGTGGCTCCGCTGAGCCTGGGTACTCACTCCTCCTTTGTGTTCTTAGAGGCCTCCTTTGTGTTGTTAGAGGCCTCCTTTGTGTTGTTAGAGGCCTCCTTTGAGTTGTTGGAGGCCTCCTTTGAGTTGTTAGAGGCATTGGTGTTGCTTTTGGCCAGGGGCCAGGCACTGCGGGAGGCAGAATCAGTTTCAGTTACTCAGGACCAGTGTCCCCAGGTGATTATTCTAATGCCCCAATTCCCCCTCCCCAGGTCTTCTAGTTCACAGCTTAAAGAACTCAGGACTTCTTTTTATCAGGGACAAAAAAACATTAGGGACTAGTTAGCTCTGGTTAAAGCTTTGGGGGAAGAGAGGGCCCATGCTGGGCTGGGCTGAGCTGAGGTTTTTCCGAATAAATGAGAATTGGTAGGAATTGATGGTTTGAATCTCATCCAACTTCCGGTCTCCAGTCCCTCTGGATTTCCTGTCATTCAATCCTGTAACCAGTTGGTGTGTCAGACACCACAGGCCAGAAATGGACCCTTGGGACGTCTGCCCTCAGGCCCTTCTCAGGTAGGGAGTGGAGCCTTCTGCTTCAGGATGGACACACCCTGCAGCAGCAGCAATACCTGGTCACCCTCACCTGCACAGGTTCTTGGCTGTCAGGACAGTTTTTGACACAGCTAGTCTAAGAAAGTCAGGTTTCCTATCCTGTAGCTGGCCACTGCAGATAGCTCACAGGAGACCACGGGGACTGAGGCCAGTGACTAGTGACACTGCCACCTGTCTCTTAGGGCCTTTGCTTCTATGATGCTGGATTTCTGGCCAAATGGCATTTTGGCTACTTCTCTTGCCCTGCCCAAGCCTCTGTCTTCCCATCTAACACGTGGCCACAATTTCTATTCTGGTTCAGCTCACTTGAAAATCTCCCAAGGAGTGGACGCCCCATCAGCTCCAGGGTACAGGCTTCTATGCCCCAATATCACAAGGCCAAACCCACACAGGGGACTAACACCTATCTCCGCATACACCTTGCTTTGAAGTTGGGACTTGGCGTCCAAAAATTAAAAAGCCTCCTTCTCCAGGAAGCCTCTCTGATTGATCAGCTACCACCTTGCCCCATCAATACATCACAGTGGCCCTTCTGGTGGCTGACCAGGGATCTGTGGTATACTCAGGATGCGGTCCTTGCCCAACCCTGTTCTCATCTGGTCACACTGGGAAATGAACCAAGATCACAGCATCCTTGTCCATTCGCCTAAGGTTGTAGGAATTTGATTTGATCAATTTGTTTAAGGAAGTCTTTGTTTGCTAAAAAGGAATTGACAAACCAGTCTGGCTGGGTTGTTAAGAACCTTCCTTTTGCTCCCCATCCTCTTCTTCCATATCTCTCTGCCATCCCTCCTGTCTTTCTGTCTTGGCAGTCAGTAGCATGTAGGCTTTACTTATGGAGCATGCTTGGGGTCTGGGATGCCTGGCCCTGGGAACCTGGGACTGACTTGCACATATCCCTGCTAGCACCCAGGTGCCCCGGCCTTCTTCCCGTAGCCCAGGGAGCCCACAAGTTTATAGTCCCAGCCCACGTGAGACCTTGTGCCTGAGATCCCTCCCCAGCAGGCGACTTCACATCTGTGCATTCTGCCATCTTTCCCCAGTAGAGGAGATAGAAAGTGGCTGTCCTGTAGCGGTCACCAGCAAGAAATGACCGACCTTGAACTCTCATATTTTATCTTAAGAATGCTTGTACATTTTGCAATCTCCTGTACAATCTGTACTGTAAATATATCCCCTCAAACCCTCAGACACACAAATGTGGATGGAGGTCACAGAGGAGGCTCCAGAAAGATCCAACACATCTCCTGACGCTTGCCACCTTCACTTCCCCAGGGTCCTCCTAGACCCACTGGGGAAGCCCCAAACTGGAGTCCTTCTCATTGATACAAAATCAAATGGCATTGTCTCTAGCAAATTATATGGGAACCATCTGTTCTGTAGCAATCTCTCACCCTACAAGTCTTGCATTACCTACAGGCTTCTGCCCAAAGAGAGCTTTGCAACATATTTTAAAGGTTCAACCTTTTTAAACCCTTTTTTCCCCAGAATGCAAGTTCTGGATGAGAATTCACTTGCTTGTGAGGCTAGGGGAGGCCAGGTTCCCCTCTACATCTGAGCTCTCCTCCCTGCAGACTGACTTAGGTATCCTAAAGAGACCCTCTGCTTATTTCCCAGTCTGACCATGTGTCATACAAGATGCTCGGAGGCCCTTGCTTGGCAGATCCTTTTACCAGAAAGCACATACTCTGCCCCAGCCTTCCCCTACCCTTTGCCTCTTACCCTGTCTTGGGACATAGATGAGTCCCCTAAAAAATTAGACCAACTGGTCTAATTAGAAATATATATATATAATTGTGAGTACAACATAGGTGCCCCCTACAAAGGGTCCTGGTATAAAAGGCCCTTCTTTATAGCAAGATGGGTCACAGGGCAGTCTGGGATGAGGGTCATTGAGGGAGAGCAATCGTCGAGGCCCCTGATGAATGCAGAGGGCTCCATGTAGGAGGGGGTCAGTGGTCAAATGAAGCTGGGCACTTGGGCCCAAGGACTTCCTTTCCTGCAGGACTGCTTGGACTCCCAGTGGAGGATGCCCGAGCTTCCAGCTTTGCTCCTGACAACAGATGTCTTCCTCAAGGGATCTTGCTCCAAGGTCAGCAAGGGGCATCCAAGGTGGACCCGTCAAAGCAGACGACTCCTGTTGGCCAGCTGGTGCAGGTGGTTTTTTCTTACCTTCTCCCTCTGTCTGGTGGCTCCTGGCTGCCTGCCTGTGACTGAGCATTGCTTTCTTGGCTGGACACCTCCTTGAGCTCAGCTCCACGGAAACGGTCCAGAAGAGAGTCAGATCTTTGGTCCTCGCAGCGCGAGTGCCTGGCAGCCCACGTGCGCAGTGAGATGATGAGGCGTGCCAACCTGGAAGGGCCATCAGAGGGCAGCCATCAGAAGAGGAAAGATAGGGAAAGCCCTCTCCCTGGTCTCGAGGACCCTGGAGAAGCAGAGATGACCAGGAGGGTGTGGGTCAGGGGTTCAGGTTTGTATATCCACTAAGCAGGGTCTTTTTTTTCCTGGGGGTATTGGGGATTGAACTCAGGGGCACTCAGCTATTGAGGCACGTCCCCAGCCCTATTTTGTATTTTATTTAGAGACAGGGTCTCACTGAGTTGCTTAGTGCCTCGCTAAGTTGCTGAGACTGGCTTTGAACTTGTGATCCTCCTGCCTCAGCTGCCAGAGCTGCTAGAATTACAGGTGTGCACCACTGTGTCCTGCTAAAATCAGTTCTGAGCAACTTGCAACTAAGCCATGAATTGTCACATACCTTGACCTAATCTCACTTTTCCCAGCATGAAAATATTGCTGATAGCTGCTGCTGTTGACATATTTTGAGGTGCCTGCCTGGCCCTTCTCAGCTCTGGACAGCCCCCTTCCTCTACTCTGTGGAAGGAGTAGGACCAAGGACATGTCCCTTACTCCTGCCTCAGCCAACAGGACTGGGGTTGGACAACTGACCCATAACAAGTCACTCAAGCTTCTGAACAACCCAGAGCCAATCCAGGTTGGGGCTGGCTGTGTCCACTGAAGACTGTATGGTGAAGGCCATTGTGTGAGCTCAGAAAGCCAGAAGTGGGGGAGAGGTGAAGAAAAAAACCATGACACCGAACAAGAGAGGGAGGAAGAAGGCAGTTGCCTCCCGCACCCCTCCCAGGTGCCCCTTTGATTCCATTTCCAGGACAGTTTGTAGCACTAAGCAGTGGCTGCTCCAGCCCTATCCCAGCCCTACTCCAGCCTTTTAATCTGAGCATACTTGAAAGTCCTCTCTCCCTTGCCATCAAAGAGACTTAAGACAGCATTTGATTAATAAACCAAAAACACCGGAAATCTCTTAACTACAATGAGCTGGTCAATAAATCATGGTAGAGTAGTATTCTCCACAATGAAAAATATGGTAAATAAATGAATGATTTTTTTTGGTGGTAATCTTAAGTAAAAAAGCTACAGAACACATGACTATGTAAAACTGTGGTGCTGTAAAATAATTTGCTGGAAAGAAACAACATATCCCAATGTTTGCTAAGCACCTGTCATGAGTGGGCACCTGGCTCTGAGGCTGCTGTCACCACCCGCGGGGCAGGTACTGTGAGATGAATTTCTAGATGAGGCTTGGAAAGATGAAACGACTTCCTCAAGGTGGTGCAGCTATGACAGCCAGGATACAGAGTGCTACGGAGCTCGGAGTCTTGCTAATCTTTCAAATATTTTTGCAAGGACACTTGCTATAGAGTCTAGACAGACACCGGATAAAACCTGCCAGGGACAACGGTCACCACTGCCTTAATGTACCACTATGTCAACCCAGTGGTCACCTATGGCTGGCTGATTGGCTTTTTTATTTTTTCTGAAATCTTCCAGAATTGAGCAAGTACTTTAACATCGCTTTTTATTAAATCAATTTCAGATAAAGACAGGCTTTTTTTTTTTTCTTCTTAGACTCTTCCTAGCTCAGAACATCTGATCTAAGAGGAAGGAAATTATGACTGAGAGATTTCAGGCTGCTGTGCTTCTGCCCTATTCTCCAAAACTTCAATTTCATTCCCACCCAGTGCGTCTTCCTGAGATGTATCCACCTCCATTCTGCCCCAGCCTCCCCCTTCCCAAGGTGAAGGCTGGTCAGTTACCTGGCAGGTCCCTGGCCAGTGAAGGAGCTTTGCAGGGGTCCAGCAGGTTCTCTGGTCTCCATGGCGATTCCTTGCTTCAGGGCTGTGGGTGTCTCCTCACATGGCAAGTGGCCCCTAGCAAATCAAATATGCAGCAGCTAAATCGATTTCAAGCTTACCCACTTCCTGGACACAGTCAGGAGGGAGATGGACAGAGCCCTGCTGCATGAGGGAAGCCATCCACCATCACGGGTCTGCAGCCCAAGGACTCTCACTTCCATTCACCTCCAGCAGGCCCTGACTTTGGGGAGAAATGCATCTTTTCTTTATAGCAAAACTGGCCAAAGATGGTGGCTCATGTCCAGCCATTGTCCAGAGGCTGGTGAAGGTATAGGGGGGAGATGGCAGCAAACGTTGACACAGTCCCCATCAGAGCATGGGATGGAATGGTGTTGGGGTGGAGTGCCTTCCATCTTGAAGCATAGCTGCTGTTTTTACAGAATGATTCCAGAATGAAGATTTTGGTTCAAACACAACTCTGTGTGCTGAAATCTGACTCTCTAAGACCAGGTCCTCCTGGAAGCCTTCCTAGTGTCCCTCACGTGTACAATCACACTTCCAGGACAGTGTGCTTGTCTGGTAGCCTTTCTGCAGCCCTTTGGATTAAGGGGGAGGTTCCCAGATTTGCATGGCCCTGGCCTAGCCCTCCAGACACACTCAAAATAATTTGTACAGCGCTTTCAAATGCAAATTCACTCACTTGTTTGTCAAACCCTGGCCTCTGTGCCCTGCATTGCATAGGTAGGGGACAGAGATCTCTTCTGTGTAATTCCCGTCCCTGGCAGGTTTTATCCTGGTAAGAAGTATGTGCATAAAGAGGATAGGGGGACCCCTCAGCAGGAGCCTGTTGAACTGCCTGGAATAAGACCAGGAATGTGTTTGGGGGTATTTGTCTTTTGTGTAAAACCTCCTGAGACTGAATTTGGATCAACTTGATGGCGAGTCAGCCAGGCGTCGGCCTCTGGGGATTTGTACTTCATCCTAGGAGCCTTGAGGAGCCCAAGCAAGGCCAATTAATCCCATCACGTGGCCTATTCCAACCTAATCAGCTTTCTTAACAAGGTGGTTGAAGCAGGAGGCAAGAATTAACATCCAGGGGGCAAAGCTGCTGTCTGTCCCCCGTGAGTGATTAGAAGTCAGAGTCCTTGAGTCCCAGATGCTGAGCTGCCCTGCCCCCCCCTTCCAGCAGCATCCCAGTCCTGGAGCTTACCACCATCCTACCAACTGGCCAAGCCCTTTCTGGACAGCTCTCGGGGCCAGCAGTCTCCTCCCTCCCTGGGCTTCCCCTCAGCAGGGCCACTTTTTCTACAGAAGCTACACAAAGTCAGGCAGCTTAACCTCCTGCAGAGCCACCTGCAATGACTCTGCCACATCTGGTTTTCCAGGGACAGACCCTCCATCCTCGCCCTGTCTTCACCCACATTCCTCCTTGGGTTCAAGTCTCTCCCCCATCACAGATATTCTCCTGTGAGCATGTTCCTGAGTTCTTGCCTTGGCTGGGCAGGGAGACTGAGGCCACCTTCTATTACTGGGGACAAGCCAGGACGTCTTTGTTGGTTTATGTGCTTTTGGTGGCCTCTGATGGTCACCGCTACTTAGCAGCAGACCAAACCCAATCTTATAACACAGGCTGCTGCTAAAATATCAGCCACCCCTGATTTTCCTTACAACACCATCTCATTTGCAAATGCAATACACCAACCACCAGCCATTTGTCGATGGCTTATTTCTGTTACCACCTACCTCTTAGCATTTAATCCACGCAACACTTTAAGGGAGGGAAGGGAAGTCTAGAGAGGTTAAGTAACTTCCCGAGGTCACAGGCCAAGTGGCAGAGCTGAGATGCCAATGTCATCCCATCCTATTACAAAACCTGCCCTCATCCACTCCCTAAAGGAGCTCATATATGGCACAGATTAAAATATATGGCGCTTTAGTTCCAGAACCCCTGAAGGAATGCTCCCCACCACAGCCCGTAAGAGATCACTCACATCTCGTCTGCCTTCACACCAGAGACCCCTTCGGAGGCCCTGGGCACAGTCCACAAGCCAGTTCCTCTGCCCTCCTGATATTCTGTATGTAGCAAAGGTGGGCTTCACATTCCAAAGCACCTGGGTCAGTTACAGGAGGAGGTGACCGGGGACAAGTGAGTTCATCTCTTGAGTCCTTGAATCTGAGCAACTGGCATGGGGTTGGGGTAGCACCTGGGCTGGGGCTGGTCACAGCACGGGTGCCCAGAAGTTCCAGAGGCTATCCAGAGGGTGGAGGTGTTCTGTCCTCACCCACTCTAATTCCAAAGCCAGCTCACAACTGGCAGCAGCTGGAGCCACTGCAAGTAGATTGAATGCACAGGGGGCGGCAGAGTAGGGAGCAAGAGGTCTGGATTTGAATCCCTAATCCAGTGCTTTTTAGCAGGCTGTTCTGTGGACTGGTCACTTACCCTCTCTGATCTTAAGCATCCTGCTCTTCATAAAGGAAATAAAGAAAAAAAAAAAACCTGGTAATTTCATGTTGATCTGAGTATTGCTCAAACTCTCAATCCCAGAAAGGACATTTAGCCCTGAAGAACAAGGAGAGCCTTTTAAAATGCAAGTTCAAGGATCCCAGGGGGCCTTTTCTTCATGCATCTATTATGTTTCAGTCAATGAGGGGCCACATATATGACAGCGGTCCTGTAAGATTATAAAGGAGCTGAAAGTTTCTATCGGTTAGGGACATCGTACACTCAATGATCACACAAGTAGGAGGTTGGTAACCTTCACTGTTAAAGGACCCATAGACCATAATTACTTGGTTTCACCAAGCAGATGGAGGGGAATGGAAAGAGAACAGGAATCAAGAGTCTGAGGTGCCTGAGCTGAGATCCCCAAGGAGACATGGGTCCTGAAAAAAGGGAGAAACTTCTAGCAATCAATGCAAGAATGGGGACTAGAACCTTCCAGGGAAATACAGAGGCAGGAGAGTCTGGAGGTCAGGTCCTGTTCTGCCTGGAGCAGGCTGAGGGGTCTGGAGCAAGGGCTTGATAGGGCCTCAGTCTGTAAAATGAGCAAACTTGGTCGGGACAACCCTGAAGCTTCCCTCTGGTATCTCAGAAGCTCGAGGCCCCTGAAGTTTGAAATTGGCCAAGAACAAGGCCAACTACAGCCACATAATGAAGTGATTGTTTTGAAAGATGAGGTGAGATGCTCAACTTTAAGTGTATTTATAGAGAGGCATTTATGATGGTAAGGTGAAGGTTTCCTTTGCCCTTGGTCACTGGGCAGGACAGAGGTTCCCAGGAGAATGGAAACTGGTAATTAACTTCGCACTCTGTGGAGCATGTGGTGTCTTCTTCCGGTGACTTTGGGGACATAAGAGTAAACAGAGGTGACCTTTCAGCACCAGGCTGGAGAATATGGCACTTTATTTCCATTTTCCTCTTCTCAAGCCCTGAGGAACTTGGAATCCGCTGCTATTGGACACATGTGACCAGAAATTGCAGCCAATTCATTTTTAAGTCTTTAGTCCTGGAGAAGCAGGTGGAAAATGGGTTTCTTTAGTGATAATTGCTTTGGGCTCCACTTGGGGAGTAGCATGAAGAAAGCCTCTTTTCTATAGGCCACAGATCCTAGGCCCCAAAGCTCATTCCAAAATAGCTGCACCAGGTGAAGGATGGGGACTTGGGGTGCTCTCTGTTCTCACTGTAATCCTCTGTAGTATATTCTTTGATCTTTTTCTTTTGCATTATCTTTTAAAATGTGCCAAATAGCTCCTAGATAATTGGGTTAACCAAACAGATCTGAATAGCCAAGGAAAACTGTGGACATTTTTATTGCTGGAGTTTTCAGGGTGTAAATATATATATTCTCATTCAAAGGAAGCATTCTCACTCTTCCTTATGACTTTACATTTGGAAAAATAACTCCAATAATTTAAAAAAGAGAAACAGAAAACCGGGCCTCCGATTTGGTGAAGAACATGGGGGCGGGGAAGTCCCAGGCCACAGACATGGTAGCTCCTTCCTCTGGGACACTTAGCCAAGAGCCACACCAACACAGGTTTCAACTGGCTTCTTGGTATCATTAAAGATAATCAGTAATTACTATGTCAGTACACAAAGTCTCAACTGTTTATCTGAAAAAGCTTTCAAAGAGAATTAGAATTTCAGGGCAAAGAGGTGCTGCATTCAAACACCATTTCCTTCCCCCAAAGAGCGATTTGAAGCTTAAAATTTTGTATGTGGATGTGCCAGAGGCCTTCGTTCAAATTGATTTTATTTGGAGGCCTTGTCTGTGAAGAGAGAGATGCTGATCCTGGCTGGGAAGTTGGGGAAGGATCCTGGGGTTATGCCTCCATCCCGAGGCTGCTCCACCTCTATCCTGAGCAGGTGGTGGCTCTCCTTGATGACTCCAAGGAACATTGTAGAAACTTCTATGGGTCATCCTATTTCTGCTTCCATAAGATAAGAATATATCTCTCCACCCTTAGAGTTGAGAAAGGAGGTCAGGAGGAGGGAGGAAGGCAGGGAAAGGGGAGGTATTGGGGAATTAAACTGATCAAATTATGTTATGTGCATGTACAATATGGCACAATGTGTTTAGTTGGAATGCACTAATAAAAAAAAAAAAAGAAGAGTCTCTCTCTCATGAAAGAAGCATTCTTTGTCACTTTCCTTTTGAAATCTCTGTAGTGTTTCCATGGGCTTCTGTATTCACCTGTCAACAAGTTGTTACCATGACCCAAGTGGACCTCAGGAAAACTCAGCCCGTGGTCACGGTGGGAAAACACGACTGGGCACAGGCAGGAAAGACATGTCCAGTTCCAGATGCCTGGCCTTCTGGGGTTATCTGAGGTCTTCTGGGGTTATCTGAAGTCTCCTGGGGTTATCTGGGGCATCCACGAAGGCCCAGGGTGGGAGGAATCGTTCCTAGGTCTGACAGTGAGGGTTGATTGAGCGCTTCACCACACAGCACGTGCCATGCCAAGAACGTTGCAGTCACTATCTATCTTAACCACAACCCAGACGATCAACACTGGACTGGCTCATACTTCAGATGAGGAAAAGGAGGCTAGACGCAGTTGAGCAACCTGTCATAGCCGGTCAGCTGTACAGATCCTGTTCCAACCCACACTGTGGCATTCCTTCCCACCATCGAGACAGCTTTGCAAATAATCTGAGGCAAGCATGAAACGAAAAGCCCATCTTACCTGCTGAGGCCATTCTCAGCGCGATCAAGGTCTCTGTCCACGGTCTTTGCTGTGAGGTGGGTCAGGGTGGGGCGGGAGTATTGGGTGCTGACCTTAGCCATCTTGCTTGTCGCATTCAGCCCCCAAGGTGGTGGCTAAAATGAGAACACAAAGTGGATATGCTATCAGGATCAGCAAGTAGGCACAAACCCAGCTCACTACAGACACGGGCCACTCTGTGTGGCTCCCTGAAAATTCTAGTGCATGGGTCCTCTGGTTCACACACAGCTCCTCACACTGTGCTTTAGCAATTCTGGATTCTTCTTTCCCACCTGAGCCATGACAAGTTCTTTCACTCCTTTGCATATTTCTCTACCCCAAAGAGCTGTTCCGAGTGAAGTGCTAAATGAGCAAATGAATGAATGAACCAACGGTCGAGTAGGAACCTGATGTAACCAAGCCAAACCCCATGGTTCTCTGGGAAAACACAATGTCCCTTTTAACCCTGGCTTTCTCACTTCCTTATTTATATTTTATAAGTTGGCATGTGCTTTAGTAGTTTTCCTGAATCCTATTTTCAAACACAGTGTGAAAAAATAAGTACCAATACTTAACATTCATAAAACCTTTACAAAAAAGCAATGCTGGGCTCAATACTCATCTAATCCCTGCAATAGCCTCCTGTGCTAGTCAGCTTTTCATTACTGTGTCCAAAGCCCCTGACAAGAGCAACTTAAAGGAGGAAATTTTAATTTTAGCTCATGGTGTCCATCCGTGGTTGGCTGGCTTCATTGCTTTGGGCCTGAGGTCAGGCAGAGCATCAGGGTGGAAGGATGTGGCAGAGGAAAGCTGTCAGCTCAAGGCAGCCGGGAAGTACAGGAAGAAAAGGCCAGGGACAGGATATAGTCCACTAAGGCCTGGCCTCAGGACCTACGTCCTTTGTCCATGCCCCAGCTTGCATGCCTACATTTTCCACCAACTCCTGGCAGTCCATTCAAATGATTAATTCACTAATTGGATGAATCCATTGATGAGGTTAGAGCTCTCATGATCCAATCATTTCCTAGAAATCCCACCCCTGAACATTGTTGCATGGGGGACCAAGCCTTCAACACACGAGATTTTTGGGGGACATTCCAGCTTCAAATCATCATACCTCATGAAGTATTTGAGACTTCTATCCCTATTGACCCAACTAAGACTCAGATCAGCTTGTCTGATCAAACCAATAGATAAAACCTACCAATGTGGCATGTTTTTATGCCAGAGATCAGCCTAGGAACATTTTCCTCTTCAGCAAATGTTGGACGGTAGGTACACCTAGGAGTGAAAGGGAAGAGGAGTTGATGTGGGGGCAAGGCCAGTGTGGTTGGCCAGTTCCATAATTTCTGGAAAACTCTTCCAGCTGGAAGATAAATTCCTGAGGTTGAGTCACTAAAATAGACTAGCACAGACTCTCTGGAGCAGTCATATGGCTTAAGTGTGTCAAATGTCAGTAGAGAGCCCTCTAGAGAAAGATGGCAGTTTCTATAAATGGCCCCAGTGACTCACACTGGAACTGAATTCATTCCACATCCAAAGGAAGGGCAGTGCACGGAGCCCAGGGGACCTCACCAAAGCAGCCTGTGGGTGTGAGCCCTGCTTTGCAAGATCAATGCACACCCTGTTTCTCAAGGGAAGCCGTTGACTCAGCTGGGTCCTGACTCACTTCTGACATTTGATAGCTCAAGTCTAGATTTTTAAATTTTGCATGCCAAAGAAAAATAAGATAAAGTCTATCTTTAAGAATTGGATGGTCTAGTGGGGCAGCGGATACAACAGGGCCCTCCAGGTTATACTGAAGAGCTATGGCTTTACCCTGAAGCCCAGTGGGTATGTGGTCAAATGTGCAAAGGCCATTGTGGCTGCACTAGGGAGGATACACTAAGGGGACTTGAGTGTATGCAAGGTGAGCCATTAAAGTCTGCCGCAGCACCTCAGGGGGAGAGAGAGTAATAACCTAAACTAGGTAACTGTCGCCTGATCTAGGTAGTGAACTGGATAAATTTTAAAAATTAGTAAATGGACATAATTGCATGGGCATGGAATTGATTGGGTATAAGGGATAATGAAGAGGGAGATGCTGGGCATGATATCCTGCCAGCTGGCATGGAGGTAGAGATGCTGCTCACCGACCTAGGTAGGGAAATAGGGAGCAGATTTGTGGAAGAGAAGGATTCCAGTTTGGATGCCTGTGAAAACTTTGGAGCCAACTTATGAAATAATGGTTTTCCATTAAAAGCCATAAACTCTAATTTGTAATGGTCCATTCAATACTTGTTTTTAATTGGTCACTTACTACATGCCAGGGGCTCTGGGTGGGCCACAGAACAATGTGCAGCTGCCCCAAGAAGCAGAGAGTCTAGTGGAGTCCAGGGAAAGTTTTTGGGACTCTGCAGGAAAACCATTACGTCTGTACCCGAGGCACAAACCCTGGTCCCAGGGCCACTGTGTGGCGGTAGCCCTTCTGTCCACTCACAGACTGGCCTCCTGTTGTGGTCATTAGGTGCCTGGCCCAGGGTAGATGCTGGGCAGCACTTTCTCATGTGACCCTCACAACACCTCTGCTCCTCGTTTTGCAAATGAAGAAACTGAGCAGGTGAGTGGTTTCCTGAGGCTGGGCCTGTGCCCTGGCCAGGATGGACCAAAGATCTGACTCCACAACCTTAATAATGGCAAGGAACCAATGTTGCCTCTAGGCCTGGGCAGGAGGGGTCCCGGCCCTGGACCCCACTCTGACCCTCCTCCAGCTACATCCCTCCCGTGAGGCAAGGGGATGTGCCCACCCATAACTCCACCTCCTGCTTCAGAGGATGCTCTGGGTGCCCAGGACTCCCTGAGTCTCTGGATTGTTCTAGACCCTCCTTCTCCTCCTTCCAGGTCTACTTTCCCCAGGGTGGCCCTCAGGTGCACTCCCCTGGGCCCACGGGAGGCCAGGGAGCAGCTGTCTGTGAAGAAGGGGGGAATGGATCTTGGAGATATGGGCAAAGGGTTCACATGCATGGGTGCAAGACCCCTTGCAACATGAGGTGGACCCAGGCAGGACTGGCAAGAGAAGAAGGCAGGTCATGGACAAGCACTCAGGGATTAAATCTCTCTATGTGCCCACATTCTGAGGCTCAAACTAAAAGTTTGAACCTGGCCTCCAAGGCATTATGAAGGTGTATCTGTCAAGATGGGAGGTAAGCATGTTTGATTGAACAGTGTGCCAGCTGGGTCACCTAAGGGTTGCCTCTGGCCCTCTACCTCACATCCTTCCTGCCAGTCTTTCAGTCAGCTGTTGCTATGGCATCCAGCTGCATGCTGGGTACCCTGATAGCATCTTGCCTTACCTTCTGCCCTGGGGCCTCCCTGCTCCCCACAGGGAACACCCTCTTGGACCACATCAGTCATTCTGACTCAAATAGAACCCAGAAGTGTCAGAGTTAGCACCTTCTTGACTCATTGCAGCAGGACTCAGGATGTCCACTGTCCTGGACAGTTAGACCAGGAAGGTCATTCTGAGGCACATTTCATGTGGTTCCTTGAAGGACCCTGGTTGCCCACTGGTGGTCAGTGAGATGATTACATTGGGTCCACTTTCCCTTTTTCCTTCTTTCTTCTTCAGAGACTTCTACTTCTCTTCCTTGGAATCAATCCCTAAATCAACTGCCCACATACACATCCTTGTCCAAGGATTTAGTTTGTTTCGTTTCTTGGGAGAACCCACAGAGCAAAGACCCTGTTGAACTTTTAGATATTTAAACACATGGTAAGTGTGTTGTTTGCATTTCTGACTCAGACCCCCTCAAGGTTTAGGGGTAAACCTGACTTCTCTTTTAATTCTGTGTTCTTTGGGGATTGATCAAAGCAAAATGTACAACATTATGGGGAAATACCAGTTTAAGAGAACTCATTTTTCTTCCCCAGCTCTACAAGGGGACTTTACCACTAAGCTACATTCCCAGCCCTTTAATTTCTTTCTTTTTTTTTTTTTAAATTTTGAGACAGGGTCTTGCTAAGTTGCTGAAGGTCTCGCTAAGTTGCTGAAGCTGACCTTTAACTTGTGATCCTCTGCCTCAGCTTCCTGAGTAGCTTGGAATACAGATGTGCATCACTGCACCTGGTTAAACGATTATCCTTTAAAAAATATGTAAAAAGAACCAATATCCAAATGTGGTCCATATATTTCGATTGGTTGATATTGGCATTTTTTTAGCTGAAGTTTTCTAAGCCTGTTTCCCTTTATGGAAGATACTTAATTGCTTGTCTTTGTAATTGCCTACAGTTTAGATTTTTTTTCCTAATTCCAACTAAAACAATTTCCTATAAATGGTAATTGCAGCCAGAGGACTGGTCAAATTTGGATTCCACGTTTGTGTTTTGTTAAGACTACTTCATAGGGGGTGTTGTATTCTTACATCAGAAGGCCAATAACATCCAATTATTTCTTTGGGTGATGTTAACAGCCATTGATGATCATTAATTAGATCTGCCATCTCATTAGAGATCGCAAATTCATGCTATTCTATCAGTCATTCATCAATTAGTTGAGATATTCTTAAGAGAACATTTTAGCTCATTAATTACTTGGTTGACTAGTGGTACAGTCCATAGTAGTGAGAGATGCATTTGAGGATACAGAGAAAGATATGCTGAGTCTCAAAAGAACTCAGTCTCAATGAACCATCAGAATTCCAGAAACACACATGAAATGCAAAACAAGCAACTCAAGAGCGACCCAACCCATGTCCTTAGCCCATGTCCTTGGCCCTTGTCCTTGCCTGCAAAAAGTAAAAAGATGTAGGTAATAATGAAGCGCACAGGGAAAGTGACGTGAGATTGTGTGTCTCCACCCTAACTCTACCTCTAATCCCTAGCTACTGTCCTTCCATAAATATGAACACCCCAGAACATGGGATTGCTTCTGGAAATGGCCCACATTCTCCTTTGAATGTGTGTCTTCTTACCTCGATAAATTGTGTCTCTGCCTGGTGTGTTGGTAAACTCCTGTAATTCCAGCAACACTGATGGCTGAGGCAGGAGGATTGTAAGTTTGAGTCTAACCTCAGCAACTTTGTGAGACCCTGTCTCAAAATTAAAA